GTGCAGTAATTGCCAGTGCCAAGTTCCTTGTGTTCGTGCGTTAGGCGGAACAACAGCCCTTCCCAGTGCTCGTAGCGTAGCCACAGACGGTGACACTTGACATTGCAGGGAGGAAGTGGACACTTAAGCCTCGTCGCTGGGTTATTAATAACTGCCCACTGATCACATTTCACAAAGGTTCGGGTTTCTGACAGCACCACGCCTCTTGAACATAAAGTACGAGGAAGAAGGACAGCATTCTACCAACTTTGTGTTTGGTACGAATACACGTATTGTGATTGAAACAACCATCTGAGGCGTTGTATAATTGCACGTGCCGTCTCTTCTTAACAGCTGTAGGCCCGCTATTGGCTGAGTTTGTTTCGTTATGGTCTATGGTGTGAATGACTTTGGTTCGAAACCCTATCGTTCTTGAATGTCTGGTTTAAATGGTTTTCCAGGCTCCGTGCCCTCGTGGGACTTGGGCGTGAAATCAGGGTCCTTTACACAGAATAACCTCGAGGTATTGAAATGGACAATAGACTCATAACGTACCTACAAGAACCAGACGTATGTCAACATTGAGACCTTATATGACAAAATGACAATATTAAAAAGAACTCGCTTGTATTTTGTATTTTATATTCATTTTGGGAGGGGTTTTGGTGGTTTCCGCGGGTTATGAGTGCGTACTGTGTGTGTTTGTTTGTTCAGGTGTCTGTGTTCGTGCGTATGCATGTGTGTACGTGTTTTTAATTTGTGTAACTGTATTGGTGTGTGTGCGCGTGTGTGTATGCGTGTGTATAGATATATGACACCTTAATTGAACTCAACAAAGGGGGCGCAATGTAATTCGCCCCCAATGACGTCACAGCCCTTCGTGCAGAAAGTTTGATCCTTAACTCGCCCCCCTTTTGTAATCGAATAGTTTTTAAAATGACAGAAGTAGGGTACCGATACAGGTAAATGATCCTTATTCATATCTCTAAGCATAGCATGTGGGTGTGTACGTGTTTTTAATTTGAAGTGTAGTGTTGTAGTTATTCCTGCTCTCCATGGGGAGATAGGAATATGACTCCAAAGAGGGTATATATTTGTCTTTTTGTGT